ATATAGGACTATTAGATGGTACCAAAAGCAATGTTTTGGGATATTTCACACTATGAATTCAGTGATACCACCAGTCTGTAATAATAGTTGGCAACATCAGCACATATTTGCAAACACCCTACACTAGATGATCGTAGTCATTATTTTTGCGCACAAAGTATTTTCGTTGCTTCATAAAATGAAGGTTGAACCACTTTTGTGACATGGATTATTTAACAATGTAAAATGTACTACCTTTTTGGGCCTTGAAAGTGGTAATTATATTGCTGTCTATGGAGGGGTCAGAGAGCTCTCCGATTTCATCAAAAATATCTTCATTTGTATTCCGAAATTGAGCGAAGGACTTACGGGTTTGGAGCGACGTGAGGGTGAGTAATTAATGACAAAACTAACCCCTAAACTCTCTGTTTCTGATACACATTTGTTATGGCAAAAAAGTCCAGGAGAAATCTGAATACATCAGCAGTTCATTTCACATGATTTACAGTAGCCTTGTAATGTTGTGGCATAGGGCTGGACGATTTTGGCTAAAATCATAATCGCGATTAATCGAACAAGCTACCTCGATTACGATTATTGAACGATTATTTGATTTTTTTTTTTTTCTCATATGTCACTGGCAAGGCTTATACTGTATATGTTCACGGTTCATGTTCACATCTTTGTGATTCTAAAATAAGGAGAAACACAGATAGCTTTTAATGCTTATTTATTAAATCTTTAAAACAATTGAATCAAACAAAGCATACCATGCTTGAAATAAAAACGTCTTATAAAAAAGTCATTAAGTTTTAATGTAAAAAGAAAGTTTCCTAAAAATGTAGAAAATAGTTCATTTTGTAAACAAAATAAATTGTTGTAAATATTGCCATCTTAAAAGTAAAATATAACTTGTATAAAACTAAAAAAACTAATCCTTTTCATATTGTGTAGCATTTGTAAATGCTTGTGTTATCGAAGCCTGCTTTGTGGAGTGGAGGCACTTGTTGCTGGGCGTTTGTCAGTCTCTCTCTTCTTTCGCGTGTTTCTTTGGGACAAGCGGCTCCTGTTGCTGAGTTGACTCTGTGTTTGAGTTCCCTTTCACACAGAGATTCCGGAAAATACACAGATAAAGTGACCCGGGTTCGTTTGACTTTAGGTTCATTCACACTGCCAGTGATTTTCCGGAATCAGAGAGTGCGTTCACACACAACCCACAAAGACACGTGACATGTCTCAGCGGCGTCTATAGTTTGCTTATGAGCTGCGAAACCACGCGTGTGCATTTTTTTCTCTCTGATTCGATCATAAACTAGTGCATTACCCTCCGTTTCACGCTGGCGAACGATCAAAGCACCATCATTACAACACGGCATTGATTACGGCTTTTGTTCACACAGCGCGCGTTCCGAGACTGAACACGGCAATGTTACTATGTCCCCAACCTGGCATCAATCCCGGGTCAGGTTTGCGTTCACACAGAAGGTGTTTGTTCTGTCAATTTCCCAAAATCAACGCGCTGTGTGAAAGGGGCTCATGTTGCTTCAATGTCGCAGACTGGACGGGGCGGAGTTACGTGACTACACACGCGGTAATATGTTTTAAGGGGAAAGAACATTAACACACAGAGGGCGGAAATATTAATAGGATTAAAAAGACGAAATAACCGACAAGGTAAAATTACGTCAGTTATAGGCTCTGAATTTCGGTTTCAATTATTTTTCGATTAATCATCCAGCCCTATTGTGGCATCAGTATTATGATAATCTGGTGTTCTAATTTGTTTTTAAGTCATTATACAGAAATATTTTGAGCTGTGTTATTTAGGCACACAGAGACATCAAGAATTAACATATGAATCTCAAATATGGTGACAGTAAACAAAGCTTTTTTTGTGACGTTGAGAGTTGATCTGAATAATTGTCACCATTGTTGATATTCATACAATGATTATTGATGTCGGTGTGAGTCTAAATGATCCTGTAAAAAGGCATTTTATTCATAATGACTTAATAAACATTTTTAGAGTATCACAGCACTGCAGGAATTTCTGCAGTAGTATTCGCATATGAAATTAACAATTAATATTAAACAATTTAATCAGAGACTCTGGTAGTAATAAATCAGGCCACTAAATGATGACCAAAAATATCTGATAAGAGTTTCTCTTGCATTTTTTTGCCATAACAAACATGTATTAGAAACACACAGTTAAAGTAACCAGAGAAAAACTCATGTTAAAATGTCAAGGCCCCAACTAAAGCAAACACTGATCACCACAATGGTGACTTGAGTATCAAACTTTTTTATTTTATTTTTATTTTTATAACTTTATTAATAAAAATTTAGTATTTCAATAAAACATCAACATCTAAACCTCTGTTAATTCTCAATAAGAACTTTAGGATGAAAGAAGTAACGCATAGATTGTAATAAGTGAATATGCTGAGATCTTGAGAGATCTGTTAGTGTTTAATGTTCTGTCGGGATGTAACGTGTTTCAGTATGGTCTGTTTTGTGGGTCACTATTGTGTTGAAGAGTAGAGCCTGTGCTTCAGTCCAGGATGAGCAGAGAAACACTGATAACACCTCATGTTGCTTTATTTAAGAGGCAGTAACTGTATAGTCACTGATGCAGTGACAATTCATGCGTGTAGTTAACTGCAAGAGATTCACTTTTTACAGTCAATATCTTTGTTAGCAATAATTGAGGAAATACCTGTAAAGTAACAGTGTTTTTCTGTAAAAAGGTCAATTAAAATTGTAAAGGTTTTTTGTACTTTATTTAAATTAGGATATTTTACTTTACCTTTACGATTTTTGTTTGGCAGCCGTAGCTGACAGTCATTGGCTGTTTTTTAACCTTTTTTTTTTTTACAGTGTAGATAAGGCTCAGGTGTGGCTCAGTTTTGGGGTTTCTCAGTCCCTCCAGAAAAACGCGATTATGCGATCGCTGAATTCAATGCAAAATCAGCCAAACTCCGCATATTTTTGCGGGGGTCGCATTTTTTCAAATACTCCGCAATTTCGCCGCATAAATTGCTGATTTCCGCGCAAAATATGCGGGGCTTGCATGATTTCATAATCCCCGCATTTTCGTCGCAAAAAAGTCACATATATCTTAGCAGAAAGTTGGAAAATGTTGCGTTTGCTTCACACAAGAGCAGCCACTTCCCCCTGTTGCCATGGGAACGCTATGAAGTGACGTAATTACGCGACGTGAACATCATTGAAAAGCTGTAAAACAGGAGCACACTTTATTTTTAAATATTTCATTTATTCATTTTTACTGAAGCTGTAGCATATTCCTCTAGTAAAGCTACAGAACTGGTTTGACTCAATGTTTTGTAAGTTTAATGTGTTTATTAAGGTCTTGTAACGCGTTGTGTCGGGAAGAAAAATAGGGATAGCTCACAGCTGAAGTTATTGCAGAGGCCAGACAGACTCACGGAGGCGATTGGCATCTCACAACTCGCACTTTATTCCCAAATCGAACTCGTAACTGTCTGTCACACGTTCTACCGTCCACATCGTTACTTAATAAACAAAATAAGATAAAAGTAGCATCAAACAGAAATTACCCGCACACATGGGGTGTTCGAGGCGCATGGCACATACAAATATAATACTGCAGACAGTTGGGAGCGCGCAGCTCTTAAAGGGGCCACACCTTATTTCCACTCGTTACAGTCTGAAATAAAACAAGATGAGAAATTAAATATTTCCAGCACTTTCTGTGATGTAGTATGCTTGCTTATCATAGGAAGTAATAAGAAAGGACTCTTTACATTAAGGTAGTAGCCTAGTGAGAACAGGGTGTTGGGGGAATCACTTTTTTTTTCTCTTTTTCATCAAACCTCAGTTTTTGCAAGTTCCCGCAATTTTTGCAAGTTCCCGCAATTTTTGCAAGTTCCCGCAATTTCATCGCAAAAAATTGCATAAATATCCCGCATATTCCATCGCATTTTTAAAGAAAACGGGCCGCGTAATCAAGGATTTTTGCCCGCAACAATCACAATAAAAACTCCGCGTTTTTCTGGAAGGACTGGTTTCTGGTTTACTTATGATAATCGGTACCAACACTAAAACCTATTCAGGCCCAGTTCAGGGCCAGTTATGGGGCAATAATTGGCTGAGACTCTGGCCAGTTATGACCTATGTGTGGCCCTTGTCTTTAATCCAGGTCTGTGACACTCCAGGACCATCATTCTTTGTGGCATCTGTGCCGTGGGAAAAGGGGCTGTGTAGACCGGATCTAGCCCAGAAATTTTTTTTATGTGGGTATAGGCACATTCCACAATGAGTCATTCACTGGGCTTGGTTAAAATAAAAGCTGTATGTGGACTAACAAGAAGTTTTCAGTTTTTAAACTTACAGGATATTCTTATCGCAGATGACCTCTTATTTGTCAAAAGCTCAAGGAAATTTTGATTTCTCAGTTCATGACCCTTTTAATTAATCACTTAATTATCTCATTAACTGTAACACTGCTTTAATGTTACTAAGATTACATTCACACTGTCAGTCCCAATCCGATTATTTGTGTATCTGATTGGAATCTGATCTAAATTATTGTCTGTTCGCAACTGTTCAGATCCGTATGACATGCTGCTCTTTCTTTTTCCGGAATATCTGCATTGGTTTCTATGGTAATGAAGTTGCGTTGGTAGGTATACGTCAAAAACAACAACAACAACAACTGCAACATAGAGGGGTTTGCAATAGAGATGTTGTCTTATTTCCATCATGACACTGTGTAGCCGCTGCGCTGGACTGCAGCGGCAGAAGCGTAGGAGGCTGGTATAAGCGGCTTGGTAACACTTTACACTAAGGTTTCATTAGTTAACATTAGTTAACTACTTTAGAGAACAAGAACTAAGAATGAACAATACTTCTGCAGAATTTATTAATCTTAGTTAATGGTAATTTTAACATTTACTAATACATTATTAAAATCAAAAGTTGTATTTAGTGTTTGCCAGATTATTGGTTTAGTGAGCTGTTTTCCTGTCTTCTTTTAGGGTGAGTTAATAAACAATATAGAGAAGAATGTCTGCAGTGCTCAGGAATATGTGGAAAAGGCCAAAGAGGAAACCAAAGCAGCTGTCAAAGTCCGGAAGACTAGCAGGACGGTGAGATATAGCAAACTATCCATTAAACTCCTGTGAAATCACCTTTCTCTTTTTCTTTCCTTCCTCTCTGCTGCCGTCCATATTCTGTTCTGGTCAGGGAGAGATGATAGACTGTATAGAGTATAACGTGGAGCTTACCGTGGATTTCATTAGGGACGCAGTGCAAGAGACCACAAAGGCTGTAAAGTACCAGAGTAATACACGAAGGGTGAGTGAAAGATACGTCAGTGCTGCCATCCGTCCTGCATGAGCATTTGCATATCTGTCTCGCTTCCCGCCTTTTTTCATTCCCACTCCTTATACTGTTATGTGAAGCTTTGTCTGTGTGCTGTCCACATTATTCTAATGCAGACGGGTCGATTTGTTTTCTCATTCGTAAAAAGCTTTCTAAATCCACAATAATAAACATAAAGTATAAAAGTTTCTTCTACGTTCTCTGGCCATCTATCATACACAAAAAGACAATGAAAATCAACCAGCCACAGTTTTCCATGGCATCCAGGGGAAACTGAATCTGCAAGGTTGAGCTGAAGGGGATGTTCCTTCATCCAAAGACATGAGCAATGAGCTGAGGATCAACACATCAAGAGCTGGAGCAACTCAAGCCAGCAAAGGGCTATTCCCATGCTGACCAGATCAGTGAGGAGGAACTGATGATTCACCATGTCAGAAGCAGAGGACCGGTCCAGTGGTTTACCAGTCCCAGTACTTATAATCCAAAGGGGACATAACGGGGAGTAATTGATGACCTGTTTCATTTCTGGGTGAACTAAACCTGAATGACAAATGGTTGAGAAGGTTTGTAATCCTGTCAGAACTAAGATATCATGAATTGATGGGCTAAAGTGAAGATCTCTGCTTTCTGTCCATGTCCTCCACAGAAGTTGATCCTGATAGGCAGCTGTGTGTCCGTCTGTCTTCTCATCCTCATCATCTCTCTAGCCATTGGATTGAGCTAGCCAACAGACTTCACCTGTAGTGGTGCTCGGACATTACAAAGGGAGTAGCTTGTGCCAGGCTGGAGCTCAGGACCATCTGTTTTTATCTTCTCTTATTTGTGATATAGCCAATAAATTCAGTAGAACAAAGACACAGACATGCTGGGAAATTATGTACAGATTGAGTGTGTAATAAGATGAAAAAGCTGGTTTGTGAGATGGGCTACAGTGTGCAGTGCCTAGAAAAAGTATTCACTTTCTGGAACTGATATTTATTTTTTTAAGAAAAATATTCTATTACAGAAGTTTGTCATTATTTGTTACAGTAATTATACCCATATCTATCATTTGCAGTGGTTCTGTGTGGATACTGTAGCTCATTGTTTGTCAAGCTCAAGCACAATGAATTTGAGATCTGGACTCTGACTTGGGCTCTCCAGAACATTGCCATTGCTGTATCAACCATTCCTGTTTAGCTTTGTCTTTATGCTTGGACACATTTGTATTCCAGCAAGACAATGACTCCATCAGGTTTATATGCTTACAATACATCAAACATGGCGATTAGTCTGATGGTCACAAATCTCAGTCTTGGTCTCGCTGTATCAGACATGTTTAGCAGTGGTCACAGTCTCCCATAAAGTGCCAATGAGAAAATATGGTAAGTGCAATAGATGCAGCATCTGTATTGTTGGTGACTTTGTTGGAATGAAAGAAATAGGGCTGGGCGATAAGACCAAAATCTCATATCCCGATAACGATATATATCACAATATAGTACCTTTTCCGTAAATTCAATCAATTAATAGTTTATATATATATATATATTTACCACTTGGAAAATACTTTCTTTTAGTATCAACAAAAAGAATAGTTGATATATATATATTGAGTATATATTAAGTATATACTCAAAAAATGTTCTCCCTTTATTTACAACTCCTGGGCAAATGTTTGATTAAGAATGTAGAAATATAAAATATAAATGAAATATAAACACTTTTCAAAAACAAATAATTACAGGCCCAACATAAAATATTGCTATATAAAATACCAAATGTAAACATTGTACTTTTAAGTTTAAAATGTAGCAGCAATCAGGGCTCCGAATCTGTTCAATGAACCAAAACAAACGAACGACATTTTGACAGGAACCAGAAACAGAAACAAAATCAAATTTAATCGTTCTGAACAGACATGCTCATTTGAAATGGCCATTAACCGGTTAATAACGTTATTTTATCGTTCTGTTAAATATTTAAATTTGCCAGTCAATCAATCACGAATTCAAATAGTACAGACTGTGCAAATGTGATATTGACGCATAGCCTATGCAACGTTAGTGAAAAGCCTGCGCTCAGCTGTCGAGTCATAATGTAAGTACCTGATGCCGTAATTACGACTTCCCAGCCCAACAAACTAATACAAAAAAAAATACAACTTGTATGTTCTGCCTCAATGCTGAACCTTCCAGGTAGAGGTGCAGTTTTACTGTGATCAGTTTATTACACACAAATGATCTCCATGTAGCTGTTTACGTGACTGGTAAGAAATCAACCGCGTGCTTGTCCCAGTGATATTTTGGTGCTCCATACACACTACTGGGGGTGAATACTTTTAATAGGCACTATTTATTTCCCAACTGTTTGTGTTGTGTTTTTGCATTGATGTGTGTTACATGTCTGTGTTGTGGCATGTTTGTTATCCATTGTGGAGAGAGCTGGGATGATGGATCAACAGTGTTACACACTTGCTACACTCCTTACATTCAAAATGATGCCATCGAGGAGAGCAGCGTTGAGCTAATCGCTGCTTTCTCTTAGACCTTAATCTCTAACATTAGTCAACGCGTATTATAACTGCACCGTTTTTCAACAGATACATCATTATAAAGGTTGTGGCACGTCCCATTATCTGTAAATTCATCTACAACATGTCATAAATGAATGGAAAACCCCCAACATCCTCAAACTGCTCTCCTCGAATCTTTAAATATGCACTGAACTTTCTGCCTGGGTCATTACAGTAACTCTTCTTTTCTACTTTTCACGCTGCCTGGACTGTTTTCCCCATGTTTGTATTTGTTTTTCTTGAACTCTTCCCAACACAGAAGAAAAGCGTGATTATTATCTGTTGTGTGCTGCTTGGAGTCGTAGTTGCTGTCATCATCGGTGGTGTGTTGGCCTGAAGGACACACACAGAGCATGATGTGTTTGGACCGGATAATAAACAGACTGGTTCTGCTCTGTGTTAAGGCTGGAACACACTACAGGACTTTTAAAACCTCAACAGATTTGAAAACACTTGGCATCATATACTTGCACGGGACGGTTGCAGAGGGAAAACTGGGCATCATACACTGGCAGACTGTCAAGTCTTTCCAGACACAATCTCATGCAGAAACACACACCTCTTTGCTAGGAGACACATGACAGATGAAAACAATATGTGTTCTTCAATCTGCTCAAAATCGGCAGGCTGACTCGTCGAATCTGGGCAAAAGTCATGTAGTGTATTCCAGCCATTTACTCTGGATATTGTAGGTCATTATATTAAAATAATAATTGATTTTTTTTTATTATTATAAGACTTATAACGCACAGGTGCCCCTGAACAAAACTCAATGTACGCAATGTCTGTCACTGATACTTTGAGGAAACATATTCTCTCAATCCATAATGACAGAAAGACGCCCAGTTATAATTAATAAACCACTAGTCTTCTTTAAATTGCAAATAAAGATTTGTGTTTTTTTTATTCTGTGAAAAACAACCTGTGATTGTTGCATTTTACAACAAAAAAAGTATAATTCCAGTTCCCTATCTTCGTCATTGTGTCGATGTAGTTGGGAGTCCCAAATACCTCTGCTACTTCAGAAAGCTTAATGAGAATTGGCGAGTGGAATTCGCATGTGCCTCCCTCATCATACAGGTATAATGGTGTGTTCACACCGAACGCGAATAGAGCGTCAAATACGCGTCTATCGCGTCTAGTTAGACGCTTGAACATTCGCTCGAGTTCAAATTTTTCAACTTGCGCGGAAGACATTCGCATTGACTTTGTATGTAATCTACTCGTGCAAATAATTAAATTCGCGTTCGGTGTGAACACACCATAAGAGGAGGAGGCGGATACGAGCCGAGAGAGTCGGCACTGTCGCCTCACAGCAAGAAGCTTCCTGCTTCTGTGTGTACTTTAATGTACAATACAAGCACATGATAAATAATGGTTAAACAATTATAGAAATATTATTCATTTTAAGATTTTAAAGTGTATCTTGTTTAACGTAATCCTTCGAAAAGAGTTTGCAGCAGAAGTCACAAACAGCGAAATTATTTTAGTGCTGTCAATATTGTAGGGTGAATTCAGGTTGAGTGGGACATCAGGTAAAGTGGGACATCAGGTAGAGTGTGACATCAGGTGGAGTGTGGGACATCAGGTAGAGTGGGACATCAGGTGGAGTGTGGGACATCAGGTAGAGTGTGGGACATCAGGTAGAGTGGGGGACATCAGTGGACATCAGGTAGAGTGGGACATCAGGTAGAGTGGGGGACATCAGGTAGAGTGGGGGACATCAGGTAGAGTGGGGGACATCAGGTAGAGTGGGACATCAGGTAGAGTGGGACATCAGGTAGAGTGGGACATCAGGTAGAGTGGGACATCAGGTAGAGTGGGACATCAGGTAGAGTGGGACATCAGGTTGAGTGGGACATCAGGTAGAGTGGGACATCAGGTAGAGTGGGACATCAGGTAGAGTGTGGGACATCAGGTAGAGTGGGGGACATCAGGTAGAGAGTGGGAAATCAGATAGAGTGGGACATCAGGTAGAGTGGGGGACATCAGGTAGAGTGTGGGACATCAGGTAGAGAGTGGGACATCAGGTAGAGTGTGGGAAATCAGATAGAGTGGGACATCAGGTAGAGTGGGACATCAGGTAGAGTGGGGGACATCAGGTAGAGTGGGACATCAGGTAGAGTGGGACATCAGGTTGAGTGGGACATCAGGTAGAGTGGGACATCAGGTAGAGTGGGGGACATCAGGTAGAGTGGGACATCAGGTTGAGTGGGACATCAGGTTGAGTGGGACAGTGCTTTCAGGTTGAGTGGGACAGTTTTAGGGCTAATGCTAGCAAACACAGTGCAGCCATTTCATGAACAAAAGATAACATTTTAAAGTTATAAGTAATAATAATATGTCTGAATATAAAACTTTAGGTTGGTAACCTCAATTTACACAAGATGGCACCCATACAGAGAGGAGAGGGACAGAGAGAGAGAGAAGAAAGCAATACAGGACAGAACAGGGCAATACAGAAAAGTAAAAGACAGCAAAATAGGAAAGGAAGAAAACGTCTCAGGTTACGACTGTAACCTTTGTTCCCTGAGAACAGGGAACGAGACAATTTGTCATCGACGCTATGGGGAACACTTCAGGCGTGACAGGTGTCTGAAATCACTATCAAATCACGTCAATCACATTGATCGGCGACAGCCCGTAATCATTAACGTGAATGATTAATGTGCGACCTAGAAGTATATAAGGGCGCCTTGCAAACATGACAAATCACCTTATCGTCTGAAGGGACTGTACGGCAGGCGGGCCCTGAGGCATGGCGACGTATTGTTTTGTTCCCTGTTCTCAGGGAACAAAGGTTACAGTCGTAACCTTAGACGTTCCCTTTCGAAGGGAACTCAACAATACGTCATCGACGCTATGGGGAACGAAATACCCACTCCGCCATGCTGAGGGGAGTGCATGCCCTCAGGCAGTGACAACTGTCCGAACCAGCAAATTCAAATGAAATGCTAGAACCACTCACCCTCAGGTCACACTGGGCTGTCAGTGACATCATTCCCTACGGTCATAGCCCAAGCTATAAGCCTCACAGGAAAATCTCCATAAACATAGTTAAATGTAAGGCCTACCTGGGCCTGCTCAAAGGCCTAGGACCACAACTTCAATTAGAAGGAACCCCAGCCAATCACTATTCAGGGGAACGTACTCACCCCGAAATGCCACCAGGACGGCCTGACCTGGCGTCAGAGCATAGACACTAGTCTGGCCACTTCCTGTCTGTCCGAAGACAGAGCCTCTGGACACTTGCCTTAGGTAAGGCATCCAACCCGAGGGACTGCGAAGCTGGCAGTGAACCACTCGGCCTGGATCTCAGAGACGGGATATCCCGGAGAGTATCAAATCAAAGCACTTTATTTGTCCCCAGGGGGAAATTTGAAGGGCACATTACAGTAGCTTGCACAGGCACACTGCACAACCACACACTACATCCCACATATCATTATACATAAATCAAAAATTAATCAGAATGCGAAAAAGAAAGGAAAAAAATTAAATAAATTAAAGCTGCAAGCAGCATTTAGCGGTGTTCAAGCAGTTAAGGCCTTTAAGGCAAAAAACCAGGGACTAGTTCGCAAAAGTAGGTTTTGGACAAAAGTTGCCATATAAATTTTTTTTTGCTCAAATCGAGAATCCGAGATATACATCTTGTCCGTCTTGAGCCAAGGAACACATTGGTGCAGCAAGCTCGATTCTAAGTCAAACGGTCTAGGAGTTATGAGCAATTTAGTACTTTTGGTTGCTGTAGCGCCACCTATGGGCCAATCGGGGTCATACTCTGATAGGTTCTCCCCAAACTGAGGCCCTAGCACCTGGCCAGGTTTCAAGTCTCTAGGCCTTACGGTTTGGGCTGCAAGATGCGTTTTGGGTTTTTTTTTTTTTTCAAATAGCAATTACAATAGGTTTTCAGCACTTCGTGCTTGAACACCTAATAATAAAAATCGGCACAATTACAATAGGTTTTCAGCACTTCGTGCTTGAACACCTAATAAAAATCAGTACAAATACAATAGGTTTTCAGCACTTCGTGCTTGAACACCTAATAATAAAAATCAGTACAAATACAATAGGTTTTCAGCACTTCGTGCTTGAACACCTAATAATAGGCGACCTTTTTGACAGTTATAGCGCCACCTATGGTCCGATCTCCATGAAACTCTGCATGCTTCTTCACCATGTTATGACACATGTGCTCATCAATTTTTGTCAAGTTCTGAGTTTTTATTTATTATTTATAGGCTTTTGAGTGTATTTTGACACGCCCCCTTTTCTAAATGACCCTGTTACAGTGAACCAAAGGGCAAAATTCAACTTTTTTTTGATAATTATTAATCTAGAGAGTCCATAGAATTGTCCTAGACTGGTCTGGTTCCGATCAGGGAAAAAACCAGGGACTAGTTAGCAAAAGTAGGTTTTGGACAAAATTGGCCATAACAAATTATTTTTGCTCAAATCGAGAATCCGAGATATACATCTTGTCCGTCTTGAGCCAAGGAACGCAGTGGTGTACAAATCTTGATTCTAGGTCAAACGGTCTAGGAGTTATGGGCAATTTAGTACTTTTGGTTGCTGTAGCGCCACCTATGGGCCAATCAGGGTCATACTCTGATAGGTTCTCCCCAAACTGAGGCCCTACCACCTGGCCAGGTTTCAAGTCTCTAGGCCTTACGGTTTGGGCTGCACAATGCGTTTTAGTTTTTTTTTTTTTTTTTCAAATAGCAATTACAATAGGTTTTCAGCACTTCGTGCTTGAACACCTAATAACAAATAATAATAATAATAATAATAAAAAATAAAAATAATAAAAAATGCACATAGAAATCATTTGTTCCTATTAATGTTCATAAGCTGGACAGCCCTCGGGATGAAGGTTGCTTTCCTCCTCTGTGTCCGACAAATGACTCAGCATAGTGCTTTCCAACCCTTGCTAGCGAGGGGAGTTTCTCTACTCGATCCACGGATCAACCCAGTGTCTGTGTTTCAAAACACTGAGGAGGCCTGTGAAGGCCTAAGGACTGATCTAACTGGGAGGCCTCACGAGAGGCCTACGACCGTCTGACCAGACTCAGGAGTCCGCATGCTCACAGTGACCCTCAATGAGGGGAGCATATGGTCCCCCTGGTAGGCAAAATCAGGCTGTAGGCAGGAAAGAGGTTCCGAGAGGGAACCGGTAGCAGAGAATGAACACTTTAGTCGAGCCAGGGCGCAAGCTCGCTTTCAGCAGCTGCCTGATAAGGCCAGCTGAAATGATAGCAAGAGGCCACTAGCTTCCTGAACCCAGCACCGCTAGGGAACCACTCACAAGGAGGCCTGGAGAGGCCTACTACCTGATAGCAACAGTATGTGGTCACCTACAGGGAGGCCTGGTGATGCCTACTACCTGATAATCACAGCATGTGGGAACTCGTCTTCAGGGAGGCCTGGTGAGGCCTACTACCTGACAGCCATAATATCTGGGAGCTTTTTCTGCTACCCGATAAAAAGTCAGGCTAGCTGTCGAGTTGTCTGTCCTTGGGCGTGTCTCCAGGGAGGCCTGGTGAGGCCTACTACCTGATAGCCATCTTAAGTGGGAATTCACCTTAAGGGAGGCCTGAGTGGCCTACTACCTGAT